GAGAGACGCAGTGAGAGGAGAGAGAGAAGAGAGAGAGAGAGAACAGAGATGGGGAGAGGAGAGACTCGAGAAGAGAGAGATCGAGAGGAGCGAGGCGTGTTTTTGGATGAACCGACCCAACGCCTCTCACATGCGTGACCAAAGGGTGACGGAGGGGAAGGGAGGAGGGCGAGGAAGGAGAGAGGGAGCGAAGGATAGGTTTGCACTGAGGGAGGGAGGAGTGGGCAGGAGCACGGTCAAACTATCACATTAAACTCGTCTACAAACCTTTATGTGTTGGATGACCGACCAACGCTCACTCTCACATGCAGTGACCAAAGAAGACGAGGGGTAGCGGGAGGGAAGGAAGGCAGGAAGAAGCGAGCGAGGGAGAGAGGGAGGGAAAGGAAGACGAGAAGGGGGTCCGAGAAAGGGGTAAAGGTGAGGTGAGGTGGAGAGAGAAAAGCGGAACAATAAAATACGTTAGTGCCGATTAGGATTGGATGCGAGGAAAAGAGTAAGGGAGGAAGGAAGAATGGAGCAGAAGAACGAATGGCGCGAGAAGGGAGGGTGGGAGAGGCAAACAGAGCACAGAGAGAGAGAGAGAGACAAGAAGAAAGATGAGAGCGAGAGCCGGAGAACTGGGAGGAGAAGCGGGAGAGAGGGGGGACTGGGAATGCGCGGGAGGGAGTGAGGAGGAGGAGGAGGGAGGAGAGGAGGGACGGGAGTGATGGAGGAGGGAGAGGAGAGAGCGGGAGGGACGGGAGGGAGGGAGGGAGAGAGAAGAGACGACGAAAGAGGAGGATGAGGAGAGAGAGAGAAGCGGGCGGGAGATGGACGAGAGTGAGAGACTGAGAGATGGGAGGACGAAGCTCCGACCAGGAGAGCACCTGAGACTTGGAGAGAGAGAGATGGATGAGCAGAGTAGCGGACTCAATGAACCGTGCAGATCATACAATCACAGCCAGCCACAGCCACCACTTGCCTGCTGCCGTCCGCCTTTGCGGAAACACCGCGGAGCCGTCAGCGTGCACCATCTTACGAGTGATGTATTACGTCGAGAAACGGCGAATTCACACGTCCTTCCGGGGACAATACACCGACCATGCCAGGGTGATGTTGTGAGACGAGGGACCGGCGAGTGAGGCGAGGGAGGCCGAGCGAGGAGGAAGAGAGAGAGGGAGGGCCGGGGGCGTGGCGGGTGGAAGACGGAGGGAGGGAGGAGGGAGGGAGGGAGGGAGGCGAGAAGAGAGGAGGGAGGGAGGAGGGAGGCAGGCAGGAAGAGGGAGAAGGGTAGGAATGGCAGGGAGGGTAGGCGAGGGCCACCGGGGAGCGCAGGAGGGAGGGAGGGAGGAGTGAGGCAGAGAGGTAGGAGGAGGGAGGAGGGGAGGCATGGAAGAGACAGGTCGGAGGGCAGGGAGATGAGTGGCGCGAGGGAGGGCGGAGCGAGAGGCAGGAAGGCAGGGGGGAGGGGCAGCAGGGGAAAGCAGGGAGGGAGACGCAGGTCAGTGCGCGGGGAAGGAGGGGCGACTACCTTCCTTGTTAGCGACGAGCGAGGTCGAGCGAGGCGAGGCGAGATGAAGAAGATAGAGCGAACAGAGCGGAAAACACAGAGCAGCAGAGAGACGAGAAAGTTCGAGAGAGGAAGGCGAGGAGCGGAGAGAAGCAGAGAGAGAGAGAGGAGAGCACGAGCACGAGACGAGAGAGAGAGGAGAGGCGAGGAGAGAAGACGTAGGAGATGGAGAGAGAGAGAGAGAGAGAGAGACCGACGAAGAGAGAAGAAGATGAGAGAGAGTGAATGACGAGAAGAGAGAGAGAGGAGAAGAGAGCGAATTGTATGTCTCTCTCTCGGGACACGCTGTCACACGCCGGTTCTGTGTTGGTGTTGTTGTGTGTGTGTGATGATAGTGTGTGCGCTCGTGGTGTGCCTTATGTGCTGTGTGTGTGTGATGTATATATATCATGTCGTGTTGTGTGCGGTGTTGTGTGTGGTGGTGTGTTGTTTGTGTGTGTGTGTGTGTGTGTGTGTGTGTTGTGATGTGCGTGGTATGGTGTGTGTGGTGTGTGTGTGTGTTGTGTCGTGTGTGTGCCCCTCTTCCGCGGTCCGGCTGTGTGTGCCTGTGTGTGTGTTGTGTGTGCCCGTTGTTGTGTGTATTGGCGAGGGAGTGGAACACGCCAGTCACGTGCGCGGGAAGCACGCGAGGGGAGAACAGATGTTGCCTTCCTTTATGCGAGAATTAGCGAGTTACACGCTTTTCTCGCGGACACGCCATGATGCGGTGGGAGATGGCTGGGGAAGCAACGGTGGTTGCACGCTCGTTTTTCCATCCTCCCATTACGAGATTTACGTAGTTAACATAATACATTGCATGAGATAACAGATTCATGATACAAGAATAATAATAAAAAGATAAATAAATAATAATAATTATTATTATTAAATTAATACTACTAATAATAATAGAGTAATAATAATAATAATCAATAATAATAATGAACCCTATGCTCCCAGGTTGGCGTACACGGGCCAACACAAAGCACCCGGCTAATTGCTGTTGATCCACTTAGGAAATATAGCTCGTAGAAGCTTCTAATAATCAAACAGAAAGCAATACTGCAGTTACCTAAAATCCCAAACCTAAGGAAATCAAATTTGACCCCGGGTTCGCACCCGTAGCTTTCTCTCCGCGGTTCCACAGAGAGTGTCGGAGATCATCTCCTCCTCCGTCGAGGAGCGAAGGAGGAGGCGGAGGTCGCAGTTGCTGACGATGAATGCTCTTGTGTTTGTTCCGCAGCGATCTTTGTTAAGAAGGTGGAGCATGCGGCGGAGGTGATCGTGCGAGCGATCAACAACCTCGATCTCAGCATCCTCTCGTTAGAGATGACCGAGATCCTACTCAAACTAATACCCAAGGAAGACGAGGTTAGTATTATGTTAATTTTTATTTATTTTTTTATTTTTTATTTTTTTATTTTATTCATTATATCTGTTAGATTCTACTCAAACTAATACCCGAGGAAGACGAGGCATGTGTTACCTTACCGTTATGCATTATATTTATTATTGTACATAATTTATAATCATATCATTTATAATTATTATATTAATGTATTGTAATTAATATTGTACATTGTATTGTATAGTATATATAATAGTATATATTGTATTACATGTGTGAAGGTGACACATGAATGTGTGCGTGCGTGCGTGCGTGCGTGCGCGTGTGTCTGTGTGCTTGTATCCGTGTATATCATTGCGTGGTTTTATGTAGATATGAGACTAGGTACTTGTACCTATATATAAATGTCATATTATGGCATATATATTAGTGTATGTGTCATTGTATAATCAATCGTTAACTACATGTTCTCTGTACAGATCAAGGCATACAGGCAATATGAGAAGGACAAGAAACCGCTAGAAGCTCTAACAGAAGAGGACAAACTCATGTTTCAGGTAATAGCCCAACTTAACATCGAAGACCAACAGATTAACAGGAGTGTTTATTAATTTAAAAAAATTCTGTGACTAATTCACTTCGATAAGTTAAATAACAAACAAAAGCTAACAAAATTAACATAAGTATATAGTAATTGTTTAAAAAAGGTTCAATAACTAACCGAAAGCTTAAATGACTAAAAGTTCACGATAAAAAAACGTATCCGGAAGAAAACAGATCTCGCCCATAGATGGCGCCACGTGCTAACTTCGTCTGTCTTTGCAGTTGACTAAGGTTGAGCGGCTGCTGCAGAAGTTGCAAGTGATGAGTTTCATAGGAAACTTTGACGAGAGTGTGCATCTGATGACTCCGGTGAGTGTGCAGTATCCCTTTCACACACGCAGCGGGCAGGCAGAGAGAGGGAGGAGGAGAAGGGGAAGGAGGAGAGGGAGGGAGGGGAAGGATGAGATGTTAGTGAGTTAGTGAGAGCAGGCATCTGATGACTCCGGTGAGTGTGCAGTATCCCTTTCACACACGCAGCGGGCAGGCAGAGAAGGGGAAGGAGGAGAGGGAGAAGGGGAAGGGTGGGTGAAGAGAGGGAGACGGTAGGGGGCAGTAGAGGGATGAAATGTTAGTGAGAGTTGACGATAGATAGATAGATAGATAGATAGAGAGAGAGAGAGATAGAGAGAGAGACAAACACTAGCAGCACCGTGACCCCTGCAACATCCATCCCATCGTCGTTATCCCAAGTCAGAGAGAGCAACCCTTTTCAACTGTACTTCTGCACTTAATGCTTACAACCCGCGTCGTCGTTGTCATTGTAGATTTGAAGCACAAGCCGTATCGCAGAGCAGACGCCGTCAGGAAGTCCCTGCGCAAGGGACGCGGACACACGCTGGCAGACGACCAAGCTACAGCCTTGTAACGCGTAACGCCCCCCCCTGCGTAACACGACAATGCAACGCAACGACGCGCCCTCATATCGCGTCGCCATGGAAACGGCCGTCGCGTGTCGCGACGAATCGGCGACGCGATTGTAATGTCGTCGCCATCGAAATGGCCGTCGCGTAATCTGACAATGCGAAGCGTGATGCTGACATCGTCACCATGGAAACGACATCCACGTAACGTGACGATGCGATGACGTGATTCCACCCTCGTCACCGTGGAAACGACATCGACGTAATGCAATGACGCGGCGATCTACTGAGCTCGTCGCCATGGTAACGTCCGCCATGTAACGCGACAATGCGACGACGCAATACTAACCTTTTCACCTTGAAAACAGCAGCCATGTCAGGAAAATGTCGTCGAGCAAAGTACCACGTGCGTTCTCTATCGCTCGCTCTCTCTAGCTGCTAAGGATCTTTTATTGTTTTAATGGGACCCACCGTTGCTGCACCCACCGACGTCGTCTCCATGGCAACCACGTCTCCGTGGCAACCGTGTCTCGGCTGCGCTTTTATATGCAGGCGGTGCTTCTCGCGCGGCGCGTTTTTTTTCGCGGCGGAGGTTTTTTTTTTATTACGGCGAGTCCTATTCATATTCGCGTCTCCAGTCTCCGGGTTTTCACGCGGTCCCTCTGCGTGCGTGAGGGTCGACGTGGAATGGAATAGAATAGAATATTGTGGGTGAAGAGCAGTATATACGTGTATGTGGATGTATGCTCTCGCTGCCAAAACACGCTGGTTCCGGTTTAGCCTTGTACAGTGAGTGACTTTGTATATAGATATAAGCAGAAGATGAGTGCGTGCACGCACGCGCGCACGCACACACACACACACACACCTACATGCAAACACGGGCGCGCGTGCGTGTGTCACACAACACCGATATTGTTATGTAAATTTGAGTCGAAGTATGTAATAACCAGTGTGCTGTAATCAGTGTACGCCGCTTCCAGCCAATCATCAATCTTTTCGTGATTTAGTGATATGACGCTATGCCAACTGAAATGGTGCTTGTATTTAGACTATTGTTGCAAACGAGATGTGTTGCTTCCGCGTGTGCTAGCAAACGAGCGAGATAGACAGACACAGAGAGAGAGAGAGAGAGAGAGAGAGAGAGAGGAGGGAGGGAGAGAGAGAGAGAGAGAGAGAGAGAGAGAGAGAGAGAGAGAAAAAGAGAGATGTATGCATGAACAAATCTCTGTCATGTTCATGATTTATATGATTAAGTTTATAATAATAGTATAATAAATTAATCTATTTCCCTGTTCGCAGCCACCGTCTTCAATATTTAACGATGCCACATGGATGGGGACCTCGAATCAATGCTGGGGCAGAACAATGACTGCGTGAATGAGCGGCCCCGATCATCGCATCCATGAAAGATTCGAAAGACGCTAATTGGTCAAGCCAATTCATGTTTAATATTCGATTTTGTGCGAGTTGGGGAGAGAGGGTAAAGGGCAGGGGAGGAGGAATGAGGGAAGAGGAGGAAGGGAGAGGGCAGGGGGAGGGAGAGGGAAGAGGGAGCAGAGGGGGAAAGGAAGGAGCGGAGAGGGAAGGGGAGGAGGAGATGGAAGGGGGAGCAAAAGGGGGGAAGCAGGAGGGGAATGGGAGGGGAGCAGAGAGGGAAAAGGAGAAAAAGTATAAAGGAGAGAGAGGAGACAGAGAGCAGAACTGAGGAAGGAAAAATAAGGATGGATTAGGAGAGGGCAGAAAAGAGTTCAGAAGGCGAGGCGAGGAACGAAAGAGTAGGGGTAGAAGAGGGGGATGCATGTTAGAAAAAGAGGAGATAAAAAGCCTGAGGAATGTAGGGACAACGTCAGGAGAGAGCGGGGTATATGAAAAAAAAAAAAAAGATAGGAGAGATGAGAGATGCGTGGATAAATGTATTTGCCACATCGTCTCTACCATCCCGTTAAACGACACGGCATTTGTAAGCGAAACGTAATGCTAGAGTTATTGATATACGTATATATATATATATATATATATGATAGCAGTGTAAGCCGCAGCCCCGTTATAACGGCGATGGTTTGGGCGGTCGGCATAAAATGTCATCTTGAAAAAAAGGGAAAGAGCGGGGTCCGCACTAAATGGGGGTTTTATATTACACTGTGGCTATATAAAGGCAAAAAGGGGTCCAGACGACTCATCGCGTTAAATCGGGGGCGCGTAAAATCGGGGCTTGTCACTATAACATACGAACATGTCAAAACACACGGTGTAACAACATGTAAAAGGCAACCTGGCAATGGCGACGTTGTGTACAGTAATGATAATATACTTGAAAGAAATAGCATTTTTTTCCAATTTGTTGGCAAAATATATACTAAATATTTTTTTTGGGTGGGATTAACAGTAAGTATTCTATGCATCGGAAACTAAAACCTTATCAACCATATATCTTCGTAACCACCTATACTTAATGCAATCTCCAATATTAACATTCAATTTATTACAGCTCTCTCTTTGTCGGCGCCACTGGATGGTACATTAAGCCACTAGTAGGCGACAGATCACTTATCACGTGGGCACTAACGTCTTGCCAAGGCAGTTGGTTTTTTATGTGATGCTAGAAACGCGTGTACTGCCTGCCTCTACTCTCTCGTCTCTCTTTCTCTCTCTCTCTCTGCTCACTCCTTTCTTCGCTTCTCTCTCTCTCGTCTCTACGCTCTCTCCGGCCCTAATCTCTCTCTCGTGCTTTCATTCTGCTCGCTGCGCTCAGGTCTCGTCTCTTGCTCACGTCACCCTCTCACTCTCACTAATTCTCTGCATTATCTTTCTCTCTCTCTCCTCCCTTTCTTTCTTTCTTTCTTTCTCTTGCCCTCACCCCCTCATTCTCTCGCGCTTTGCCCTGACCCCCCTCTCGTCACGTCTTCTTTCTCTCTCTATCGTTACCTTTCTTTTCTTTCTCTGGCCTCCACCTCTGCATTCTCTCGACCGCTCTACCCTGATCCCCCCTCAACTCACTCTCTCTCTCTCTCTCATCTCGTCTACTGCGAAGTTCTCTCTCGTCTCTCGGTCTCTCGTCTCTCTCTCTCCATGGGCCTCTCTGTCTCTTGGTCTCTGTCTCTCTCTCTCCCC